AACCAAAAAAATGTACCGAATTTTCTACATTTATTGCTTAAGAATAAAAAATCGAATTCGAAGTCGTTTGATTCAAAACTTTTATATAGGAGTGTAAAATATTTATTTTTTTTACTGAAAAAAATTACTTAGTATATTTATTTATTTTCTAGTATATTTATATATCAAAGAACACCCACTTTACACATTTTTCTAAAATATCTTGTTCTTTGTTCATAGAAATATATATAAACGAACATATCGTATGTAAATTTCCGGAATACCAAAACCGGAATATTTGCCGGAAACCGTCTCTACTTTCAATATACGCTCCGATTATTTTGATCAAAATAAATATACTTGTAACATACAAAATTTGCGAAAAATATTTCTATACAAAAAACTATATATTGATTATATTTTCAAATACAAAAAAATGATTTAGGGAATTAAGGAAATTAATAGGAAAAATCAGTTAATTATTAAAAAAAAGTAATTGATAGAATTTTTGAAAAAAAATTGAGTAAACAAAATAACAGTGTACTAATTATTGTTAAGAAATATCTTGATATAAATAGAAAAATGTAACAAAATATATTTTTCGCCTTGCACGTCATATATTTTTGACGAAAATATTGGAAAAAATAAGGAAATTATTGAAAAAAAAGTAATTGTTGATAGAATTTTTGAAAAAAATTGAGTAAACAAGATAACAGTCTACTAGTAATAAATTATTGTTAAAAAATATCTTGATATAATTAGACAAATGTAACAAAATATATTTTTCGCCTTGCACGTCATATATTTTAATTCCGAATGTTTGCTTCGCAAACAAAACCAATGATAGGTTTTCTGTAAGCAAAACTGATTGAAAAAATCCAGCTGACATCATCATATTTTATGAAAACCTAGAAAAACTTGTAATTTATAAGATAAACATAAAAATGAATCCATCCAAATCCAAATCCAAGATTTTTGTAATTTGAATGTCCTGAATTTTTTATTTATTGCTTAAGAATGAAATATCGAATTCAAAGTCGTTTTATGCAAAATTTTTATATCGGAGTGTAAAAAAGTGTTTCTTAGGAAATGTTGTAAATTTTATCTTGTTTCACTCTATCTAACTGAAAAGGGGTAGTTCCATATGAAATTTTTGAGTTATTTGACAAAAACCAAAAAAATGTCCCGAATTTTCTATATTTATTGCTTAAGAATGAAATATCAAATTCAAAGTCGTTTTATTCAAAACTTTTATATAGGAGTGTATAAAAGTGTTCCCAAAAAAATGTAGAAAATTTTATTTAGTTTCACCCTATCTAACAGCAAAAACCTCAAAGATAACTATGTAATTTTTTGTTCTTGTATATTATATTCATTCATCATCTATATTCTAGTATATTATATTCAATCATCACATATTCATCACATTTTTTATTATTAATTAATAATATTTTTATTACTATTTTATTATTTGTACAGAAGATGATTCCAATAAAAATCGAGTTTGCAAAATTTATTAAGAAAAAACTGTAAATAATTATTTCATACTAAATATTTTTTTTATATTATAATATTATATATAACTAAACTTAATTTAACTTTTAACAATATAATTCATTATATTAATCCATTTTTATTTTTATTTCAGGTTTCAACCAAAGAAATCTCTACCAGAAAGTTCGACAAAATTTTTGAAAAGTGCAAAATTTGTTTTAAAATTTCCAAAAATAATGTGTTTACTAAAAAATAATAATATAAAGTGGTTTCTACAATTTTCCCAGAATCTAACTTTAGTGATTTCTAGTAAACAACATTTTTTACAGTATTTAAATTTTAATAAGTGAAAAGTGATAAATAAAATTAATATTTTATTTGTTAAACATTATTAGGTAATGAATTGTATTAAGTGATTAATAGTGATAAATATAATGACGATGATTTTTAAAAATGTGTGTGTATGTGTGATTGATATAAAATCTGCGAAAATAGTGTCCAAAAACTAGGAAATTGGAGGTTGTTGATGGAAAAATCCTGATTTGTCTCCAAAATTTGCTAAAAAGTGCTCAAAAGCTAGGAAAACCTCAAAAACATAAATTATTTACAAAATCTGCAAAGATAGTGTCTAAAAACTAGGGAATTAGACGTTTTTGATCACAAAAACCTGATTTGTTTCCAAAATTTGCAAAAATAGTGTCTAAAAACTAAAAAAAAATTGACGAAGAATCAAAATTTTGAAGAAATCAAACTAGCTTTGGTATATTGTGCTCATTTTAAGTCTAATACTAGCGAGATTTTGTTACATTTTTTAAAAAAAACTCGAAATTTTTATTCATAAGACTCTTTTATGGTTAGCTTAGCAAAAACTAGATAAAATTTATAACAAATCCCTATAAACAATTTCATACACACCGATATAAATATTCTGAATAAAACGAGTTTGAAATCGGTTTTATATTGTATACAAGTTTGCAATAGAATATTTGGGACATTTTTCTACAATTCTTTAAGTAACTCAAAAACTTTGTATCTGGCACTTCTTTTAGTTAGTTTAGCAGAAACATCAAATTTACTATGAACTCATATATACAATCTTATATGTTCCTATACAAAAATAATAAACAATATACCTAACAACTTATAAAAATTTAAAAGTAAAACTCGTTCTTTAACAATCCATCACATAAAAGTAGTTTCTTAGAAAATTCAAATAAATTACGTAACTCTTTCTGAGAATTTTTGTAACTTTTTGCTCTTTTATTTTAATTCTGTTGTAACAAACGAAATTGTGTAATGGCATGTAACAAATCTTTGAAAGAAACTTTTGTAAAAGAAAAAGCCACAACTTTCTATCATTCTCTGAAAGTTTTTATAAAAAGAAGTCTTTGATTATTAGAGTTTGGTAAAAAAATAAATAAGAGAAAAGTATCCGAAAAAATATTTTTATTCATAATTATAAATAAAATCCAGAATGTTAAACTCAAAGACTTTAGGAAGAAAAATTGCTAAATTATCTAAACTGTACTTTTGAAATTTGTTCAGAAAAGATTTTTCAAGAAGACTTTACTAAACCAAATATGATCAAAATCTCATTCTAAATCTTCAAGTACTCTCATGAGACACATTTGTTCAAAATTGGTAAACTTTGTCTGGTCAAAGTTGAAGCAATTTCCATCTACCATCAACTTGTTAAAGTTTGCTAAATTGTAATAGTTCTTGGCTAAAGTATTGGTTCTGGAAAACCAAGAATTTAGAAGTCATTATACTACTTGAGTCTATTGTTTTGCATTTATTATGAATAATTCGACTAAAAATGTTATGCAAATTTAGGAATTTTTAAGCCAACAAGTCAAATTCTCAATATTAGGACATAAAGATACTCAATTACAAAACTATAGATATAAATTTAAAGTTGCTCTTATATTATGGACAAATATTCTTCTCTAATTTTTGAGACATTTTGATGCATTTATATGAATAATTTGAAAAGTTTGGTGCTCTCTTTTTGATTCAGCTTAGCAAAAACTAGATAAAATCTATGACAAATCCCTATAAACAATTTCATACACACCTATACAAAAATTTTGAATAAAATGAGTTTAAAATCGGGACATTTTTCTATAATTTTTTTAAATAACTCAAACACTTTGTATGTGGCACTCTTTTTTAATTAGTTTAGCAAAAATTACATAAAATTTACTATGAACTCATATATACAATCTTATATGTTCTCATATAACAATTATAAACTATTTGCCTTTTGCACATTTTAAGACGCGATTTGGTTACATTACATTTTGTTACATTTTTTTTAAAAAAACTCGAAATTTTTGTTCATAAGACTTTTATGGTTAGCTTAGCAAAAACTGGATAAAATTTACGACAAATCCCTATAAACAATTTCAGACACACCGATATAAAAATTCTGAGTAAAACGACATAACATTTACTATGAACTCATATATAAAATCCTATATAAAAATTATAAACCAGATACTTTTTAATTTTAAGCCAACAAGTCTGCTGAAATTATGAAAACAGTTTGCAAAAATATGGCTTAAATCTTTTTCAGGATTGCCATCAATATATTGAGACAAAAAGAATATTCGGGACATTTTTCTACAATTCTTCAAATAACTCAAAAACTTTATACGTGGCACTCTTTTTTAGTTAGTTTAGCAAAAAATACAGAAAATTTACTATGAACTCATATATAAAATCTTGTATAAAAATTATAAACTAGATACCTTTTCATTTTAAGCCAACAAGTCTGCTGAATTTGTGAGAAAAGTTTGCAAAAATATGCTTAAATCTTTTGCAGGATTGCCATCAACATATTGAGACAAAAAGAATATTTGGGACATTTTTCTACAATTCTTCAAATAACAAAAACATTGTACTGGGCACTCTTTTTTAGTTAGTTTAGCAAAAACTACATAAAATTTACTATGAACTCATATATAAAATGTTATATAAAAATTATAAACCACATACTTTTTAATTTTGAGCCAACAAGTCTGCTGAATTTGTGAGAAAAGTTTGCAAAAATACTGCTCAAATCTTTTTCAAGACTACCATCAACATATTAGGATAAAAAAGCTACAAAAATAGACAAAAGCATCAAGAATTTCGAAAAAGTCAACATTCAGCACCATATCTATGACTTGTTACCATGTCAATTGCAGAAATCTAGAAGTCCTGTCCAAAAACTTATCAAGAACTTTGTGTAAACCACCAGAAAATTTGTGTAAAAACCACAGAAAACCTTGGATAAAATAAAATTACTCAAAGACAAAAGCATCAAGAAATTCCCAAGAAGTCAACATTCAGCACCATATCTATAACTTGTTACCATGTCAATTGCAGAAATGTAGAAGTCCTGTCCAAAAACCTACCAAGAACTTTGTGTAAACCACCAGGAAATTTGTGTAAAAACCACAAAAAACCTTTGGATAGCATCTACAAATTAGCTACAAATTAAGATGCTCCTTCAAAAATAATCAACCTCCACCAAATCCCTCACCATGTCTGCATTTACCAACCTAACCCTGGATCCAAATGCAACCTTAAGCTACTTTCTGAGCCACAAACTGGTTCGAGATCTCACCCAAAGACTTCTTCTGTGGAACCAGACCCAAAATTCATCTCTATTCCTGGACAACCAGACTTTATCTGACCTTTACCAGGCCACAAAAGAAGGAAACGCCTATGGACGAGGCAGTATTTCTGTAGTCATCACCATCACAGTGATCTATCTAATAATTTTCCTCACTGGAATAGTTGGTAACATCAGTACATGTGTTGTGATTTCCAAGAACAAATCGATGCATACTGTCACAAATTACTATTTGTTCAGTTTGGCGGTTTCTGATCTACTTTTGCTGATCAGTGGCGTGCCTCTGGAGGTGCACAAGTTGTGGTATCCTTACAGATTTGGGTTTGGGGAGCATGTTTGTATAATTCAAGGACTGTTTGCCGAGACTTCTGCTAATGCTACTGTTTTGACCATCACTGCTTTTACTATTGAGCGATATGTGGCGATTTGTCACCCTTTCTTGTCGCATGCTGCATCCAGCAAACTTTCTAGAGCCATCAGGTAAGGGATAGATAAATCTAGATGTGATAAATTTTTAGGCAAATTGGTACAAATTTTGACAAGGTGTAGTCAATAAAAGTTATTTAAATTCATTGACAATATTTTTGCAACCTAAAACAACTAATTTCGTACCCAAATGAAGACTGGAGTCGCTGGAAAGTAGAAGTCACCTCATGACTTTTCTAATTTCTGATTAAACCAGTTCCTCTAAAATCATTTATCAAGTGTTGGTTTTATCATTGACAGTTGCTTTCATTATAATAAAAGTTATCTAAATTTATTGACAACATTTTTGCATCATAAAACACCTAATTTCTTACCCAAATCAAGACTAAAGTTGATGCAAAATACAGGTCACCCCATGGCTTTTCTAATTTCTGATTAAACCAGTTTCTTTTGAATCATTTATCAAGTGTTGGTTTTATCATTGACTGTTGCTTTCATTATAATAAAAGTTATCTGAATTTATTGACAACATTTTTGCAACCTCAAACACCTAATTTCTTACCCAAATGGATATTAAATTTGATGCAAAGTAGAAGTCACCCCATGGCTTTTCTAATTTCTGATTAAACCAGTTCCTTTAAAATCATTTAATAAGTGTTAGTTTTATCATTGATAGTTGGTTTTACTATTTTTCTAGATATATAGCTGTTATCTGGCTCCTGGCCCTCGGTTTGGCCATTCCCCAGGCCATGCAATTCGGAGTTGTTCTAGAATACAACGGGATGACCCAGTGCACGTTCAAAAGAGAAGTGGTAAGACATCAAAATTACCTTTAAATTCTAAAAAATGGTACCAAATATCAATTTCTAAGAAACTGCTTGACTGATCTGTACCAAAAAATATTCATGAAACGAATATTTTTGGGCCAGATTTTGAATTTTCTAAAGCGATTCAGGATTTTTCGCATAAACGTTGACGGAATATTGTGCGGTTTGTTGGTGATTATAAAGAAACGGCTGGGCCGATCTACGTACAAAATTAGACACCACAAGTCTTCATCGTGTTGAATCGATTGGCTTTTAAATTTTTAAAATCGGTGTATGAGGTTTTGAGAAAACCGTCGTCAAAAGTCAAACTATGATTCAAATCCACATTGACTTCAATCTCGGTGCACGAAAGATTGTAGTCATTGTAAAGAAACGGCTTGACCGACCTGCGTACAAAATTAGGCACCACAAGTCCTCATCGTGTTTACTGAATGGCTTTTAAATTTTTAAAAATCGGTGTAAACGTTTTTGAGAAAACCATCCTCGAAAGTCAAACCTTGGTTTACATCCACATTGATTTCAATCTCGGTGCACAAAGAATTGTGGTCATTGTGAAGAAACGACTTGACCGATCTGCGTACAAAATTAGGCACCATAAGACCTTATCGTTTTTTATTGAATGGCTTTTAAATTTTCAAAATAGATGTATGAGTTTCTGAGAAAACGTCATCGAAAGTCCAACTTTGGTTCACATCCACATTGACTTCAATCTCGGTGCACAAAAGATTGTGATAATTGTGAAGAAACGGCTTGACCGACCTGCGTACAAAATTATGCACCACAAGTCCTTATTGTGTTTTATCGGCTGGCTTTTAAAATTTCAAAATCGGTGTATGGTTTTTTGAGAAAACCGTCGTCAAAAGCTATACATTGGCTCACATCCACATTGATTTCAATCTCGGTGCACGAAGAATGGTGGTAAGTGTGAAGAAACGACTTGACCGATCTGCGTACAAAATTAGGCACCACAAGTCCTTATCTTAGTTAATCGATTGGCATTTAAAATTTTGATATCAGTGCATCTATTTTTGAGAAAACGTCGTCTGAAACCAAGCGTTGACTCATACACACATTTCTTCCAATTATTGTGTCAAAGACATTTTGGGAATTGTGAAGAAACGGCTTGGCCGATCTGTGTACGAAATTAGGGACCACAAGTCCTTACCCTGACAAATCGTTTGGCTTTGAAAATATTGATATCGGTGCATTCATTTTTGAGAAAACGTCGTCGGAAGTCAAGCTTTTACTCATACTCACATTTCTTGCAATTGTTGTGTCAAAGACACTTTTGGTACTTGTGAAGAAACGGCTTGACCGATCTGTACGCAAAATCTGCCAGAAATAAAACACCAAACTATCTTCCATTCTTCACTATATATTCACCATATTTTCACGATTTTTTACCATTTTCTCACCATCATTTCCCCATTTTTCTATTACCCAGGTGGAGTACGCCTTCGAAGTCTCCGGTTTTGTTTTCTTCGTCGGCCCAATGACGGTTATAACCGTCCTGTATGCGTGTATTGGAGTCAAATTAAGGAGATCCAGGTTGGTCAGGTCTGACAACGGTGGAAATGCAAGTACAAATTCAGGAAAAAATAGCCTGAACAAATTTAGAGTCAACGGATCGCAGACAAAAGTCATCAGGATGTTGGGTAAGTGGAAAATATAATTCTATAATAAAAAAAATTCTGTTTTTTAGTTAGCTTAGCAGAGACTAGATAAAATTTACTTAAAATCCATATAAATAGTTTTATAAATTCCGATATAAAATTTTGTTTAAATCCATTTTGAAATTTGAACTTGCTCAGACAAATATTCTTGTCTAATTTTTGACATAAAAAAATTATGATACCTATGCTATAATTATCTATTTAATTACATTTTTTATCTCTTATTTTAAGCTTTTTGCCATGTTGAATAAAAATATCGTAAAAATCAAGCATTCGACGTTGATTTTATTTATATTCAGTATATTGTATCCTCTTTGAGAAATAAAAGTCAATTTCTTCGATATAATTGACAATTTATTAGCTATTTTTATCCATTATTTTTTATGTTTTTCCTCTCAAAGTGTAAAATACTAACATTTGTATCGTGTTATCATACAATTATCAGTATTCTCTCGTAAATATTTTTTCCTTGTCTTGGGAAATATTATTTTGTAAACAACTGGTCCGAGAAAGATTTATCTCATTTATTATATATATATATATATATATATATATATATATATATATATATAATGATGAAAGAAAAAACGATTTATTTCCTCTCGTGAATTATTATCTATTTAGATGATTTATTGGAAATAAAATATGTGGCATTTTGCCTAATGGAAAGTTGCCAACATTTTTTCTACTTCTTCATTGATATATAATAGTTTGCATTAAAATAATATTTAGAGAATTTTTTTTGAGACATCTTGCACGTTTTTGTCTTTAAATTTAAAATCTGGGATTTTCTTGGACAAAGTTTATTTAAATAACTTTGAACAATAAATTTAAGATAAATAATTGTAAAAGTGATTGAAATATTTGAAATGATGGATAAATAAATTTATGAACTATATTTTACAATTGTCTATTTCTTTTAAATTTATTTAAAAAATATTTGTTCTGCGTTTATTTATTTTTTACCAAACTCTAATAATCAGACTTTTTTTATAAAAACTTTCAAAGAATGACAGAAAGTTGTGGCTTTTCCTTTTACAAAAGTTTCTTTCACAGATTTGTTACACAATTTCGTTTGTTATAACAGAATTAAAATAAAAGAGCAAAAAGTTACAAAAATTCTCAGAAAGAGTTACGTAATTTATTGGAATTTTCTAAGAAACTACTTCTATGTGATGGATTGTTAAAGAACGAGTTTAACTTTTAAATTTTTATAAGTTTCTAGGTATATTGTTTATTATTTTTGTATAGGAACATATAAGATTATTTATATGAGTTTCTAGTAAATTATACGTAGTTTTTGTTGAAAAAAATAGAAAATAGTGCCGAGTACAAAGTTTTTGAGTTATTTGAAGAATTGCAAAAAAAAATAACCCGAATATTCTACTGAAAATTTGTACACAACATAAAACCGATTTCAAACTCGTTTTATTGAGAATTTTTATATCGGTGTGTATGAAATTGTTTATAGGGATTTATCGTAAATTTTATCTAGTTTTTTTTTTAAGTTAACCATAAAAGAGTCTTATGAACAAAAAAATTCGAGTTATTTAAAAAAATGTAACAAAATCTCGCTAGTATTAGACTTAAAATGTGCACAATATACTAGAGCAAGTTTGAATTTCAAATGAATTTATCCAAAATTTTATACCGGATTTTATAAAACTATTTATATAGATTTTAAGTAAATTTTGTCTAGTTTCTGCTAAGCTAAATCAAAAAGAGTGTACCAAACAAATTTTTCAAATAATTTGAATAAATGCAACAAAATATCTCAAAAATTAGACAAGAATATTTGTCTGAATATAAGAGCAAGTTTAAATTTCAAAATTGATTTATTCAAAATTTTATACCGGAATTTATAAAACTATTTGTATGGATTTTAAGTAAATTTTATCTAGTTTTTGCTATTTTTTAAGTAACTTTTAAAAATTTAAGGGCTTTTTCTTCTACTAAAGTTTCTCTTAAGGATTTGACACAATTTATGGAAAAAAATGTTTGAAAATCTTCAAAGAGTTTCGTAATTTATTACAAAGATCTAAAGAACTACTTTTCTTAAATGGATTGTTACGCAATGAATTTTTCTTTGTAATGCTTTAATTAAAATGCATTGTTTTAGATGTAATGTGTTGTAATTAATTTCTGTAAGATTTATATGTAAATAGAACATTTTATCTAATTTCACCCTATTCAACTGAAAAGGGGTAGTTCCATATGTAATTTTTGAGTTATTTGACAAAAATAGAAAAAAATGACCCAAACTATTTATTGCTAAAGAATGAAATATCGAATTCAAAGTCGTTTTATTCAAAACTTTTATATTGGAGTGTATAAAAGTGTTCCCTAGGAAATGTAGTAAATTTTATCTAATTTTTGCAGTACTAATAAAGTCTCTGATATAAAAAATTTGATATATTTGAAGAAATATGTCAAAATGTCCCGACATTGCATTTATCAAAATTTCAATTTCAAAGTTGTTTTGAAAACAATAATATATTCTTAGCGAACTTGTGAAAATTGCAAATCAAGAGTATTACTATTCGATGGCAAATTAAAAATGTTTCTAGAACAACTTTTTGAATTACCAAAATATCTGCAATAGTTTTTATAAAATTGAATTTTTACACTTTGCAAATTTTATAAGTTGTAAAAAATCAATTTGGATCCTGCGAAATCGAAATGTTTAAAAATGCAATATCTCGAGAACGCTTTGAGATATTTAAGAAATTCAAAAAGTCCCTTATATAACATTTTTAATTTGCCATCGAACTGTGTTAATCACGATTTGCTGTTTTAACTCGTTCACTAAAAATCTGAGTGTATATAACTGTTGACATGGAACTGTAGTAAATTTTATCTAGTTTCGCTTTATCTAACTGAACAAGAGTGCTCTCATATGAAATATGTGAGTTGATAATTTATATATATATATATATATATATATATATATATATATATAAATTTTCTTCACCATCCTCAAGAATATATTCTTGTTGTTGTTGTATAACCATAAGACTCGTGTTGCATAATAAATAGATGCAAGACGTGTCTCATGTGCAAATGCATCTTTTGCATTTATATATATATTATATATATATATATATATATATATATATATATACAAATGTATATTATATGCATCATTTGCAATGTCCCATACATATCTCACAATGCATTTTGTCTGTCTGTCGATATTGTTATCGATAGCATTGGCTTTTGAATAAATTGTTACTAGGCGCGATGTAGTCCCTAATATATTATAGCAGTGGTTTCCAACCCTAAGGGTGCACAAACCTGTTGCCAGACAAATGTCTCCAAAATAGGGATGAATAAAAAAAAGTCATTCCTTAATTCATTTTTTTAGCACCAGACGTATTTTTAAACATTTCGATTTCGCAGGATCCATATTGATTTTTTACAACTTATAAAATTTGCAAAGTGTAAAAATGCAATTTTATAAAAACTATTGCAGATATTTTGGTGATTCAAAAAGTTGTTCTAATAACATTTTTAATTTGCCATGGAATAGTAATATTCCTGATTTCCAATTTTTACTGGTTCCTCAAGAATATACATTATGCATATATAAATATTCAGGATTTGAAGAAATAGTTAATAATGCAAGTCAATAGTATGTATCTTTATAGTTGATTATTATATTTTTAAGATTAGTTTTCATTTCCGATTATGTTATTTGATGCTTTCTATATGAGTATGCAAATTTAGGTTGCATTCTCAGTGAACGAGTTAAAACAGCAAATCGTGCTTAACACAGTTCGATGGCAAATTAAAAATGTTTTATAAGCGACTTTTTGAATTTCTAAAATATCTCAAAGCGTTCTCGAGATATTGCATTTTCAAACATTTCGATTTCGCAAGATATTGATTTTTTACAAACTTATAAAATTTGCAAAGTGTAAAAATGCAATTTTATAAAAAATATTGTAGATATTTTGCTGATTCAAAAAGTAGTTCTAAAAGCATTTTTAATTTGCCATCGAATAGTAATACTCTTGATTTCCAATTTTCACTAGTTCCTCAAAAATGTACATTATGCACAAATAAATCTTCTGGATTTGAGAAAATTGATAACAATGCAAATCGATAGTATGTATCTTTATTGTTAATTAAAATATCTTTAAGTTTTTTTTTACCGATTGTATTATTTGATGCTTTCTATGATCATCCCTCAATTTTAAATTGTTAATTTAAAAAAGCATTTAGTTAACAATTTATCAATTCATAAAACACCAAACAATACCTATGGAGTTAATAAAGATTAAATTAATTTAATTGGAATTCGAAATAAGAAATATTTTTTGGGGCGTACTATTTGAAACCTTTGAAGTAAATTATAATATAAGTGGACCGTTACTATAAAGTTGGAAACCACTGTATTATTATTATGGGATTCTGTCGAAGGGCAATTGTGCAAACTCCAATGCAATAAGGGTAGAGGAATCCTTTTACAGAAAATTATATATATATATATATATATATATATATATATATATACGTATATATATATATATATATATATATATATATATATTGATTTTTAGCCAATCGTCAAAATACAAAAAAAAACAAATAAATAAAAATATTTATTTATAATAAACGTTTCGACCCGTTTTGTGTCATCATTCAGCAAATTTTGTTAATCAGAATCTAAAAGAATATTTACAAAGTTTAAAAAATAAAATTAAATTTATATTTAAAATAATTAAAGAATAAAAGATATTATTTACAAGAGAATGAACCAACACATTTGCAATTCAAAAAATACAAATCAGTTTAAGACAATGCTCTCCGAACATGTCATTAGTTTAAATCATACTTTCAATACTAAATATTCCTTTTATTTTACATAAAGAAAAGAATGTTGACCACAGAAAAATTGCTGAATCTCTATTTTTTTAAACCCATTTTGCGTTAATAAACGATAATTTTTTAGCTTTCTATTGAAATGTAACAATTTAAAT